TTTTTTTTTTTTGGGTGGGTCCAGAAACCAACGAGGCTGCAAAGACATGTGACCACTAATACGGTACAAATCGAAATGTGGTGTCTGGAAAGGTGTCTGGGGAGGTCCAACTTTCAACACGCGGGTGTGCGTTTTCATTGGGGTGCCCTTTTTTCGGGTGGGCTTGTGCAAGGCAAACCCCCAAAAAAGAAAACCTCATGCTGAGGGTCCGAAGCCCTACACAGCCCAAAAGGAAGCCATGGAAACGGCCCGCCTCGTTCGTTCCCGCAAGCGAGGCCGCTGTGCTTCGGGGAGCCGCTCCAGCTGCAACACCTGAGGACGATGCGCATCCAGGGCGGGGGGGGGGGAGGGGTTGGGCGGGTGTCCATTTCCTTTTTGGCGGGTGCCCTCTTTCCCCCAGCTGAAAGCTTTGGGGTCTCAGCGCAGGTAGGCTCCGGGGGGTGGTTCGGGTCCACGAGGGTACCAGGGTTCCACGAGGTTCTGCGAGGGCTGCGGGGTGGTGCGAACACTAAAAAGAGCACTGCACACTGTTGGGGATATCACCTGAGCTTTTTTTTTTTCTCGGGGGGTGGGGGGTGGGGGGTGGGGAAGATTTGTGTGGGCGTTTTTTGAGGAGCCCTTTTCGGATGGGCTTTGCAGTGACACTAAGGAACACATGGGATAAAGAAAGAGATGGGAGATGGGGCGTGTCTTGTCCTCTCGTTCCTTGTCCTCGCGACCAATCCCCTTCCGTCTCAGACACGTTCCTTTCACTCACTAGTCACTAATACCTGGCAAGAAAGGAACATACTAGATACGCCGGGTTATAGAGGAGGTTCCATGGGAAGGAGAATCCGCTGTCTCATACCTTCCCGGACAGTGCCTCAGGGTCTATGTTTGTGTCTTGTGGGGTTCGCACCTCCATGCTGACACACACACACACAATTTCTTGAAGTGTCATCGAAGGTTTGGAGTTTGAGTGGGTCCCTTGAAGGATTGGGCCGGATTCTCAGGGGATTTTCCTTTTAAAGCAGCGGCGTCTTGGATGTATCCTTTCAGAAACCATTGCACCGTGTTTGAGTGGGTCACAGCAGCAGACGCTTTGATAGCTTGGGTTCACCCAACGCTTGTACTAGAGATGAATCTCCGCAACTTGTTGCAACACTTCTGGCTGTGGGTTTGGCCCCTCTCACCATTCCGGCCCTGTGTCGTCGCTTTGATTCATTCGCATTTGCCTTCAAATTCGCAAACCCAGCCATGTCTGTAATGTGTGTAAGCCCGTCTTTTGAGCGGAAAGAGCCGGTGCACTATGCTTGTTTGTGGGGGGTTCAAAGGTAACTTTTTTTGGCCGGAGCTCGGGGACCAGTGAGCTCCTGGTGTGGAGATTTTCGGGGCTGCTCCACTCCACCTTGGCACTTCCAACGCCCCCCGCCCCCCAAAGAAAAGAAGAGGGAAAAGAAGCACAAACAATCTCAGAACAGTTCGCAGCCCAAACAGGCACAACAAAATCAACCACACCAACCAAAACAACCCCAAACTCCACTGACAACCCATGCCACAGGTCCCCACCCCCACAGGCCCCCAACTCGACCGCAGCGAAACCCACCCGAACGCCAAAGCGGGCGGCGAGGACCCAGCGCTTTGTGCGGGTCCGCGCGAAGGCGCACGCCCCACTACAGACCGCAGCGCGGCTCGTAGAGCTGCAGGAGCCGGGTGGGCGGTTGGGCGGTTGGGCTCCCATGCCCAACCCCAAAATCCCGGCCCTTTGGGTGGGGTTTGGTTTGTGGGAGGTTTTTGGTTGGTTAGTTGAAAGGCGTTGGTTGAGTTCTGTTTCTATTTTCTTTACTATAGGCGTGTAAAGGGGTGGGCGGGATTTGGGGGTTGGGCATGGGGGAGGGATTGGGGTTTGTGTGATTTGGGGCGAGGGAGGTGGGGGCTGACAAGCTTGGAGGAGGGCTGTGGAAAAGGTGCGGGTTTGGTTGGTCAGGGGTTGGATCCTTACACTGCCCTGCAAACAGCAGCAAAACTGCGGGAGGACACGCCATCATTTCTTTGTGGAGGTCAACGGTGCAGAATTAAGCGTTTCGAAACTGCTTCTTTGTCTGGGGCTTTCCCAGGCTAGCCCCAAAGCAATTGGGCACCCCAGCCTCAACGAGCATCCTGCCAATTCTGAGCTGAAAGTACGCATCGCGTGACTGAATCAGATTGTTCTATCATCCCCGTCACAGCGACTTTTGCCCACGAGCTTGCTTGGTGACCGTCCTTTTGTCGGGTTGGTGGTTTCGGTTTCAGGTCGGTCAAGATCATGGGAGCCTGGAAGCTCACGTGTTTAGGAGTGGACATGTTCGGGGGCTGTTTGTGCATCATGCGCAGGTGGCATCCGCTTCCTTTCGCCGCGGAGCTGTTGGCTTAGAGTTGCCGCCCCCGAGCCATGGGCAAGAAGCGGCCACATGAGGAGGGAGGCGGGGTTTTCGTGAGCATGGGAAGCCGCGTGTGATCGAAGGAGAAGCAGGTACGGGATAAGCCGGGTGTGGGTGGGTCGGTTGCTTGGTTGGTCGTTCTGTCGCTGGGGTGTGTGGTTTGTCGATGGGTTTGTTGGGCGCGAGCTAAGCCGAATCAGCATTCACCCGTGATCCCGTGGAACGCTGAGTATTCTTCACTTGGAGTTGTGAATGTATCCAGGTCATGGCTTGTCTTCCACCTGCACCGGTTCTCACGCCATCCTTGCTTTCCTGTTCATTGGGGTGGTCTCAATTCGGATGCGGGGTCACAACAGTCAGTCTGCACCAGAGATCAGAAGTCTTCCGCTCGCAGCAGTCACGGACACGGGTACGCTTTGCCTGTGTCTACCAAAAGCCGCAATTCGCCATTGGGAACAAATGTTCCGCTGCTTGATTTGACCCTTTTTGGTGTGTCAACAATGCGCACAGCGCGCCCGGCCGCGCGCTCCAGGCGGCGAGAACGTTGCGCCCAAAGCTGGCGGCGGCGGCGGCGGCGGTGTGGCCGCCCCGCCGCGGCGGGGCGGCGGCGGTGGTGGCTTGGAGCCTTGGAAAAACGCGTGGTGGGGCCATGGGCTTGTCACATAATGGGAAGCCGAAAGAGGGGTCCCTTAAACTCACACCCAAATGCCGCCCCCCCCCCCCCGAGTAAGACAGTGAGAGGGTTTTGGTGTTTGCTTCAGCTCCGCTGCTTTGGCCCACCAGCTCTGAAGTCTTGTTGAGGTTGCGCGAGGGTTTTTGCCGCACGGTGGCTCAGAAGACCATGTTGGCGGTAAACACAAAGTTCGGACTTGTTTTGTCCAATCCACTCAGCAAGCACGAGTGATTGCGCAATCGGAACGGGGGGTTTTGCATGTTTTTGGTCGGCCAAGGTGTAACGGGGAACTGGGCCTCCCTTTGAACGAAACGACTTTTTATGGGACTGGAGTTTCATGGTGCGTCAGTTTTCTCAAAGTCAGTGTCCCAACTTTGCCAATCTCAACCCAGGAGATTGATGAGGTTCCGCGTCCCAGGAAGCCGCTCGGACAGTGGGCGCTGCGTTTGGGAGTGGAAGGGTCGGGTGCCCAATGACCCACTCACCGGAAGTCTCCCAAAGGAAGCCCAGGCAATGGGTATGAAACGAATCCAGGCCCGCTGTTCGCACAAGCCGGCAAAGCAAAAGAGGCCCAAGTCCCCAACCCAGGCAAGGAGGGGAATTGTCAGTTCGCACTGCCCTCCCGTTGTTTGGACCTGGAAAAGTGTGAGTTTTGCTGGCATCCAGTGATGGACATTGCGACACTCGTGATCTTTTTGGAGGTGACTTTCATGGGCGCAGTCCGATGAATTTGCAGGCTGCTTCGGGGGGTGAGTCGCGTGGACAATGCGCCTGCTTTTTCGCCTCTTGCCGCGATTCCGAGTGCACGAGTTTTGTATGGGAACGGCTGAGGACGAAGCCTCAGAATCTGCAAAAGCTCTCCTACGAAGACCTGCAACAGAGAAAACATGACTTGCCGCTTGGCCACATCCCAACCTGTGCCACAGCCATCGCATGGCCCGGCTGAGTCATCAAGCCTACCCTGGGCATGAAGGATGTTTCCCCATGAAGGATGTCATGTCAGATTAGGGGGTGGTGGGCTGCCGGGCTGACCTTTTGGCAAGGTGAAGGAAATGCAGGGCAAGTCTTGGGGAATCATGATGCCGTCACCCACTCTGGTTGATGACTCCTTCATCTTGGGAGAACATCCCCTTACAAATTTGCTAGGTCGAATACTCCGCGGTTGACATTCTCAATGCTTCAGTTGCTGTTTACCTCAGGCGCCCGGCCCAACATGCAACAAGTGAGCAGTGCCCAAAAATCCCATGGGCCATTTTCGTAGGTACTGCCTGGGCTGGCAAAGGTCATCGGCCTAGACAAATCTAGGAATGTTACTGCTGGCGTTTTGGGTGACCAAGGGAATGCACTCACGCAGGTCCCAGCCGAAAGGCCTCAAATGGGGGTACGAAGTCGACCAGGTTGGGCTAAGAATCCCCATGTTGCCATGTTTCGCAGGGGATGTGCCAAAGCTCCCATGGCTCAGGAAAATGGAAGAGAACTACCATAGCAACGTCATGGGAGTCTCGGCGAGGGTGCGGGAGCTGGCTTGGGGGTGTTCAGGCGTCGCGGGGAGCAAATGTCCGCTGCTAAATGCGCGTTCTTCTGCTAGTTGGGAGCACGGGGGGAAGGGCCGCCGCTTGGTAGAGTCACACGGGGCGAAAGATGGCTTTGTGTCAGCAACGTGTTGCAAGATCCTACGTGTTGCAGACAAGTTGCAGATTGTTCAAGTAGCTTCCGCTCCGAGCGTGCCTGCGCCAAGCCCCAGCCTCACATTGGCCGTCAAAGTCCCAAGAAAAACACCACGGAGTCGAAGCAATGGCCCAACCCTTGCGGCTGTTCTGTGTGCGTTCTGAGTCGCCTGAGGTATCAAAAAGCGGGGGCCGTACAGCGCCAGCGATGTGCGCGCCAGCTACACCCAGGCGAGCGAGCCGGGATCAAAGGGCGACCTCTGCCCATTACTCAGTGGTCCAACACTGATCTTTTGACCTTTTGGCTTTCCCATTTTGGTCCGTGGTTAGTCAAGTTCCCAAAAGGTGAAGCTTTTTGTCCAGTTTAAAGCCCCCCGACCCAGAAAGGGTATCAACGCGCAATCTCCGCGAGGGTGTTGGAATACCACTTTCGTTTTAGGTTTGGTTAAATCCTCAAGGATGTTAGTTTAGTGGTTCTTCAAACTGGGGATACGCTTTCAGGTTGCTCCATGGCAACGTGGGTGGGATGCGGGGCACACGCCAGCTGGCAAAGTACCCCTCCAAACGGCAACGGTTTCCTTGTGATTTCCCTTTCAAACTTGGGTGCGCAATTTTGTGAAGGAGAGAACACAGAAGACGCATAGAAGGGGGGGACAACAATCTCCATACCGTGGTCAAAAGAGCCCTTTACTTGGGGTTGACAGGGGTCACCCTTAATAACAATTCCATTCTAATTACAATGATGGGAATGCACATGTGGGTAAATGGGAGATTTTTTGTTTTTTTTTTTTAAACGACCGGCCCAAACAAAAGGGTGGTTCTGAAGGGCAACCAAAAGCAGAGCCACTTTTTTTTGGGGGGGGCGTGTGCCTCAAATCAAGAGAGGCACTCATATTTAACCTGCCTCTCTGATTGCGAGTCCGAAAATATCAAATATGGTTCCAGATGCTTTCGTGAACTCAGGTGCTTCGCTTTCAGTACCTCCAGAAGGAGGTGGATTTGGAGATCGAGCGCCGGGAAGCGCGGAAGGAGAGCCAAGCCGAGGCAAAGGCCCGGAAGAGCCTTGGAGGGAGGGATCCATTTGGGTCCGGAAGCTAAACCCTAAGGGGGTGTCCTTTTTTTGTTGCGTCCTTTTTTCTTTTTTTTTTTGGGGGGGGGGAGGTTCTCAGTTGTTCAAAACCTGCGGGATTTCCGGTGTGGATTTTTGTTTGGGCTGAAAGCGAATCAACCGGATCTGACCTTTTGTTTTTCCCATCTTGATTTAGTTATGGTGGCAAAGGCTCACCTTTTAAAATTCTATTTCTGGGTCTTTTCGGCAACTGAGATTTGGGGACTGAGATTTGGGGAATGAGATCCCCGGAAGTCAACCCCCTGGTTGAGCAATAAGCAACTGTCCCCTTTTAGGGGACAGGTTTAGGGGACAGGGAGAAGAGCATCACTTTTAGAGTACCCACCCTCGCAAAGATACAAACTCATTTTATGTTCAATTCACTTTGCCCAGGATGCTTTTGGGGCGGGGCCATGTTGATCCCAGATTTGCTCCTCGTGGTGCCCTTCGTTCCAAGGAAGCAGGAGAAGGAGGATTCCCAGCGGGCGGCCAAGGCGGCGATGGCGGCCGCGCAGGCAGGGCCATGCGCGGGCCAAGCACGGGCTGACAGAAAACAAATCACCTGGATGGGGGTGGCCATTGAGCGGACACTCAACAGTTTGGGGGAAGCCATGACTTGTCGTTCACCGTGATTAATTCCGGGGCGGGTGCAGTCGTGGGACACCATGTGTTTGAAGGCCAGGCCATGGGTGGTTCTCAAAATGGACCCGGACCCAAAAGCACGGTGTGCTTGCTTTCACTTTGCTTTTGAACTCTAACCACAGGCAGTTCTTCCAAATGCAATACTGGGTGGGTGGGTGGGTGGGTGGGTGGGTGGGTGGGTGGGTGGGTGGGTGGGTGGGTGGGTGGGTGGGTGGGTGGGTGGGTGGGTGGGTGGGTGGGTGGGTGGGTGGGTGGGTGGGTGGGTGGGTGGGTGGGTGGGTGGGTGGGTGGGTGGGTGGGTGGGTGGGTGGGTGGGTGGGTGGGTGGGTGGGTGGGTGGGTGGGTGGGTGGGTGGGTGGGTGGGTGGGTGGGTGGGTGGGTGGGTGCGTCTCTCTCTGTGTGTGTGTGTGGAGTTTGGCCAAGAAGGGTGGAGTTTTGGGGGTTCTCATCCTAAAATGTGATTTGCCGCCTGAACTCCTGTTTAACAGGATCGACGAAAGCCCTTGCATATGCTCTTTGAACAGCTTTTGTAATGATTTAGTTTGAGAGCAGCCAAATCATGTATTTCCCCTAAGAGCTTCTTGCCTACAATATGCTTGGTTGGAGCCGTGGCTCATGGCCCCTTCAATTTGTGATGGGCAAGCTTGCACCTTTCCCAAGCAGTTTTACTGGTGCGGCCGGGGCATGTCTGACAATTGCACCATTGTTGTTTCAAGGTTTGGGTGCACTTTGGGCACCTCTTCGCCTAGAAGGAACAAGCAATGCCGTGAGCGGCGGGTCACAAATGGCATACCCGAGCTCTTGCCAACCTCTGCCATATTCCACTGAGGATCCGCATGGAATCTACCATCACTCTAAGCTTTGGTTTTGTTTTTCTCAAATTCCATATACTTTTATAGGCAAGTTGCAATATTCTCATGGACAAAGACCGGCACAATACCTTTGAGGATGGATTTCAACTCATCAAATAGCGGGCACTTCGGAACGGAACATGTGGGCGAAGGCTGAGACAAATCGAGCCAGGAGGACTACTTCGGTGGCCCTGGCGTGTCTTTGCCCCCGGGCGTGCCCTCCGGTGGGGACGCCACCTGGCCAGAGCAAGGGGAAGGAGGGCTGGGAGGATTGCTGGGGCGGGTGACCCATGCGCAGTGTATCCCTCAGAGGGATGCCCCTTGCGATTCCACTGAGACCGCAAAACATCAACCAGCCAAGGAGCACCTCGGAAAGGTGAGGCCGATGACATGCTTTTCCTCGGCAAGTGTTGAAAATTAAGGAGCCTTTTGAGGTCGGAGGTGCGGTGTGCAAGATTGCCCCGTGCGTTTGGAGCCACCCCGCTGCTCAGGCTGTTGCTCAGGTTCCATTTTGTGCATCGTTGACTGGACACATTTTCCGGCTGTTTCGGTTCCCGACAGAACTGCTTGCCATGTATTTGGCGCCTGGTTGGAGCGCACCCCCTTGACATTGCCTTGGTCAGTGCATACCTGTGAGAGGCATGCTGCATGTTTTGCAAATGTTCCGTCTCTTCGCATTGTGCCACACACATCAAACGGTACCATGCTAATCAATATGCTTCTAACGGGCCTGGCCAACGCGATGCCGCTTCCAATGTTTCCCGGAATGGGCCAATCATCTCAATACTCCATTTGCTGCCAATGCGTGCCAATTGGTCGCAAGGTTCCCTGGGCTCTCTTTTTTGCCAGTTTGTACATCATTCAAATATGAGTCGCTGATGCATGGCAACCCCTTCCAACAGCAGTTTTGCCGTCCTTTGACAGTTGCCCCTGGCATCTCCCTTGGGTTTGCCGAGTTTTTCCACCCCTTTTCCAGCCCTGAGCAACTGTTGCCCCGAAAAAAGACAACCACAACGCTCATACAACCCCTCATTGTTTTTGGGGGGGGCCCCCGGCTCCGCAGGGGTGGGGCAGGGGGGCCTTCGAAACTCTCAGGTGGCCTCAGGCTTCACCTCCTGGAATGACATGAGCAAGTACGACCGGCGCACCGGGGGGCGGGGGCTTGGGTTGCGGTGAAGGGTCAAGAAGTAGAACTGAGCTGGCTGGAGGTAAGCCAATCGCAATGCCCATGATTGCTTCATGAAGTTGCTCCCGGAGACTTGAGAAGCAAGTACGATTGAAGCAGTGGCCAAGGCTCACCGTTTGGCAGAGACCGCCATCCTGAGACAACTTTGCCATGTGAGGCGTTGGGACGGCTCCCTGGTAACCTGTGGCCTTTCCAAATTGCTGGCATGGTCAAAAATCCCGAATGTATGGCGCCTGCAAAGGACAGAGTAAAGAGTTTTCGGGGGCTGGTCAGGTTAGATTTCGTGCTTGCCGTGGCGAGTTGGAAAAGCTCTGGGCAGTATTGCCTTCCTTCGCGGTGCCTGGGCGCGCCGTTCCGCGCGTGTAGAACACAGGGAAGGTAAGCTATAGACTCTACATAGACATCTCTGGAAGTGAAGCGGGCCCAAACTCTGAGGTCCCGACCACTTTCGAGGAACACTTTTGAGTAACGATGGGTGCATGGTAATCTGGGAATGTCTTCACGTGGTTTGAGCGCTAGGCCCTACCTGCAGGGAGGCGAGAGCCGTGCGGCCGCGTCTAGCTCGCGGCCCCCGCGTGCCCGGCACTCGCCGGAGCGGTCGGAGAGGCGGGGCTGCGTGTGGCGTGTGGAAGTTGTGGGTTTTGGGGCGAAACGTTGCACAAGTTCCCTCTACAAACCGTACCTGCCACTACACGATTTGTAGGGCCTGTAGGTCTCGTCCTTTTGTCGGGCTCTTGTATGAGATGGGGGAAATGAAGATGAGCCGGTATGAATGAATGCTTCATTTTCATAGTCTCCCGGGCCCTGCGATTTGGAAAACGCTGGGGGCCTGGCAACACTCTGCAAGATGCTGGGAAGACGATTGGAGCTCACTGGAAATGAAGTGAATGCAATTTTACGGACCATGGCATCATTGGGAGACGAGCGGTTGCCTTTGGCCGGGTTTCTGTCGGTTTTAGTTTCGAATCATCTCACCTGTTGGTATGTCTGATGCTTTTTGACGGTCGTTGGGATGGGCTTTCCTTCCAGTTGTCATGCCATGTTGGGGAAGAAGGGGCACCTTCCAAGGCCACGTCGGCAAACCTAGGCAACGAGTAGTGAGGGCGTTTTTTTTGTCGTTGGATTCTTTTTCACAATTGCCTACTCAGAGCAATGGCGAAATTAAAGCAGGTGAGGAGGTGCCTGTTCGGTCCGCTTCGTTTCAGGAACGTCGAATGAGAGTACATGGGATGATACAGGTGAAGCATTGCAAGATGCAAGTGGTAACGTGGGTCTGGGTGTTTCACTTGCAACCTCTCAGCTGGCTTGGCTGCCTGGGTTTTCGGCTCAGGACTGACGACAGAGGCAGGCATCGAAGCGTGTTGGTTCAGCGGCGCGGGACGTGGGTTGCGCTTTCTTGGAATCGGTCTGCTCCCTTTGAGGCAGCTCAGGCGACATCTTGGGCAAAGCCTTTGGCAAACATATTGGTGCCCAATCGCCTGAAAACAACCCGCTGGCCGGAGTGAGGCGTCATGTTGCGGCATGCGTGCTCACATCACCCTAGCATTTGCATGACCACTCCGATCCCATGAGCCCCCTTTGCTTGGCGATTTGTCCCCAGGCGCCCCCGAATCAACCTGTCTTGCAGTTGTACCCCTGGCATGGAACTCGCCGCGCCATGTCATGTTGGAGGGTAGCCAGCCCACTTCGGCCAGGCCTGGATTTCTTCCAGCAGGTTGCCATGGCGAATGCCATGAAGACCAATAGCATGCAAGGACGGAGGGTGTCTCACGAAATGGGGAGGGCGGCTTAGAGGGGGCAAGTCATGCTCCGCTTGTTGGTGGTGTATTGGGAGCCCCTCGATTTGGTTGGGGTTCGCATTTTGGATGCGATGCCAAGAAGCCTTCCGATTTTTGGCAGCCACATGTGTCAAGAATCTGGGGTTGCCACACAAAATGATGGTTTTGGCCACTTCCCCCCCCCCCCCAAACCAACGGCAGGCGCCGGCGCGGCCGGCGCGGCCAGCTTGGGGAGCGAGAGCTCCATGATGGCCGCGGCCCCTCGGCCCAAAAGGGTTGCGTGGCTGGAGCTCATGTCCACTTTGCCTTGCATGCCGTCACATGAAGCAAAGGGGACTGTGTGACCGGGTTTGTGTGAACAAACAAGAGCTCAGGTGTCAGTGAGAGGAGGGGGCTTCTTTTCCTAGTTATGTGTGAGAGACCTTGGGCAAGTAAATGAACGAAGAGATGTCCACAACATGTCTGACTTTTACCATGTCCTGTTTTTCTCAATCCTTGATTTTTGACTTCATGGGCTCCGAGCTCGCCAATCCGCTCCACCGCAACGCTCAAAAGGCCAAAGATCTCCAGAACCTAGGCAACTTCACAGGCCAAGCACATGTGTACGCTTGAAAATCCATTCACAAAATCCCCTTTGAAACCAACCCTGATCTAAGCTGGCCTTCTTGGCTTCTCCACCATTGTTTCCATCTCTGGGTGTCTTTTTCAGGGGACCCCCCCAACAAAAAGAAAGACAAAAGAAAAGACAAACAAATTGGTTTGGCTTTACACCTGTAGAAAAGAGTACCCTCAACAAAATACATACCCATTTGCTTCCACTTGGTTTCCCCCTAAGCCCCTCCAAAGCTCTAAAGCTTCCATGAAGGATTGATGTTCTTTTCTGAGGGTTTTGAAGGAGGCCGAGGCTGTACCCTCTTGCGCAACTGGGACTGAGCCTTGGGATTTGAAACCCATGGAGAATCAGGGGCTTCGACCGCATGTCATTTTAACTTTGGGTCTGATATGAGAAACACGGTAAGGCAAACACTGTCCCAGCCCAGCGGTGAGGCAGGCGGCGGCAAGGACAATCCCATGCTCGCCTGGCTCCAAGCGGGGGCGCGCAAATCTTGATAAACGCGAGGAGTATTCAGTTGCAACCATGGCTGCCCCATCGAAGTAAACTTGAACAGCATTGTGGATGATGGTTGCCCCAGGCATCTGAAGATATGGCCAGGGAAGAGGCATTATTAAACCCAAGTCATGATCATCCTGAGGCAATTGTAGGGTTTGGAACCTAAAACGAAAAGGAGCCACACCCTGCCCCAGTTGCTTGACAGCATTCTTAGGGGACTACCCACCATCGCCATGGAACTCACCATGGGGCCGTTTGAAGGAGAAGGTTCTTCCAACAGCCCACGGTAACCGATGGGGGGGGGGGGGGGGCAAGCGGGGCTTGCGCCCAAGGCCACAATGGCGCAGATGATGCTGCAGACCCAGCTGAAGCTTAAAGAAGCGCAGGCTGGTGCTGCGTCTCTCGGTGCCAAAAGTGAAGGATCTTGGTACCCACTTGCCAGCCTGTTCAAGAAGCTGGTGGTCATGGTGGTCTTCCAACCCAGGAATTCGGGGGGCAAATCGAATAAAGGAGCGCCACCAACATGGGACCCTGTGAACGAACTAGGGACCGATCCAAAGTTGAGTCATTTTGTGCGAGTTTCGGGAATTCGCCGTTCCGTGGAGGAGAAAATGAACAAGGTCTCCGAAAAGACTATGGGAGGAGCCTTGGACGCGATGGGTGGGCGAGGGTGGATCAAACCGGAGATTTGGGCCACCGAGGGTCAGTATCCCTGCAGTTTGCCACGTGCAGCAGCAAGCGTTCCAAAGTATGTGAGGGGTGACAAACATGGTGTAGGTCCTTTGCTCGGTCCTGTTGGCAGCCAGCCAGCCAAACAGGCAATCGAGCGAGCAAGCAAGCAAGCAAGCAGGCAGGCAGGCAGGCAGGCAGGCAAGCAAGTGAGCAGGCAGGCAGGCAAGCAAGCCAGCGAGCAAACAGGCAGGCAAGCAAGCAAGCGAGCAGGCAGGCAGGCAGGCAAGCAAGCAGGCAGAGAGAGGCAGGCAGGCAGGAAGCAAGCAAGCAGGCAGGCAGGCAGGCAAGCAAGCAAGAAGTTTGAGTCGCTGCGACCAAGCAGCCCGATCCATCACTGTGATGACCCATCCCAGCTGAAAAAAGACGAAATGCCGGACGAAATGCCGTCCATATCGCTCCCATGCTCTCCCGACAGCGAAGAACAGCTTTTTGTCATGTTTTGCCAGCAACCGTTGACCCACTTGGGCGCTCGTGTCCGGGAATCGCGCGAGGCTCCGGCTCGTCTGGCAGCTTTCAGATGGGCCGCTTGATTCAGCAGGGGCAGGGACGGGAGGCTATTGCAGGCCAGCGGAGCCCTCATAAACTTGCTCCAGCTTCAGGCTTCAAGCATGCCGGATATAACCGAGGTGGAGGGTGTGGCAGCTGTGACGGTTGCAGCGGTTGCTGCGGCTGCGGAGGCTGCAGTGGCTGTGGCGGCTGCGGTTGTGGCTGTGGTAGCTGCGGTGGCTGTGGCGGCTGCGGTTGCGGCTGTGGTGGCTGCGGCTGCGGCTGTAGCGGCTGCGGTGGCTGTGGCGGCTGCGGCTGCGGCTGTGGCGGTTGCGGCTGTGGTGGCTGCGGTTGCGGCTGCGGCGGTTGTGGCGGCTGCGGCGGATGTGGTTGTGGTGGCTGTGGCGGCTGTGGCAGCGGCTGCGGCGGCGGCAGTTCCTTGGCTTAATTCACCCCTTCCATAATAAACACGGCCCCTATATATAATATATATATATATATATATATATATGTATATTGGCTGGGGGGGGGGGAGCGAAAATCTAATAGTTAGCAGGTAAATTAGGAGTCGGATAATGTACTCATCCAGTAAAACGTGCCTAAATTGTAGCTTCGCAAACGGATTTCGGTACAAACTTGGAGAGCAAATTTGAAGGGGAAGAGGGCCCGATGTTTGTTCGATTCTGGCGTGGGGTTCGTGCAAGGAGCTTGGGTGCAGGACAACTGCCCGCTCCAGCCCAACCCCAGCCATATTCGGGGGTGTTGCGCCATATTTTCTGAAGTGCTAAGGCTGACGCATATAGGCTACATCCACTGCTTTTGCCCCGAGGCCCCAAGCCAAAGCCAAGATGCCATGCAAAGCCCTTCAAAATAGAGGCGGCTGTGCCAGCACAGGTCGGGGTTGATGGTGTTAAAGTTCGGGATCCCTTCTGAATGGTGAGTTTCCTGGTGGCTTTCGCCTGACTCCATTCACCAAAGGGGAGGTCTCCCTGCTGAAGGCACAGCTTGGGCACTATCACCCACGTCTATATAGACACGAAGTTTCCTGCATTTGCTGGAAACCAGAGTATCCAATGTGAGAGGTCCACAAGGCGGGAGGGCGCACATGGAAATCCAACAAGAATCTGCCCAACTAGTCACCAATCCGAATTCCAAACAGAATCTACATACCAGTGCCCATGTCCTAGTGACCGTACGCCTATCAGGCTCTCGCAACAGATCAACTCGTTGGCAAATGGACATGCTAAGGTCGATCCAGCCATTGACAAGTGAACACTCGAACGCTTCCATGACAGGCAGCGCGTGGCAACCGAAATTCCGAAGCCCGATGGAGGCCTCCGGGCCTTCTGGGCTTCTAGCTTTCTGGCCTTCTTTCCACCCCCCCCAAGTTTCCTCGTCGCAGCCGGCCGATTCCGCTGACCCCGGAGGCATGGGCATGGGCCTGCCTGCGGCTTTCAGAAAGTGACGGCTGCACTGAGGGCACAGCGTGCGAATCATGCAGCTCGGAAGGACCACGGTCCGTGAGAAGGTCTTCCTAACATCATGTTGAGGCCTCATTCGCGTGTCCTCAAAATTACCCTTTCAGTGGTGCCTCCACTTGAAGGGACCCAGTATGTCACTGGTGTTGGGTCAATTTGTGCTTGGCATTTCCTGCCGCAGTTTGGGAGGGCATGGCTACATAGTCGCCTGGGTTGGCCAGCGCACGTTCCCCTTCCGAGCCATGGCGCCGCCCGTCGGGTCCCTCGGTCCCTCGGGCCCAGCCCTGGAATCATTCTTAGGTAGGCCGCGGCTAGCGGAGAGGACGGCGCTCCCGGTGCTTGCTGTTTCAGCCAAAGGTTCCCAGTCAATTGTAGGAGTGCCCTTGCAATCAGACACTTGCACACACACACACAGAGTGTCATGCGTGATGCTACGTCATATATTCCGGTAATAAGGCCAGCGGCCCTTTTATCAAGCAGAAGTGGGGACAGCTCACGAGGACCATTCACATCAGGCCAACCAAACAGCTAGCCACCAACAGCTTACTTGTTGCGCTAGGAAGTCATAGCCCATTGCGAGCTTCTATATTTGTGCGCGACTTGGTAAAAGAGCAATGTGTTCGCCACGGTGCTACTCAGCTACTGGCCCTTGCAACAAGAACTAGGCCAAGGTTTCGGCTAAGCGTGGCAACCTTGCTGATTCGCCTACTCACGACGAACGCTTCCCGTACAGATATCTACATCATGATGTGCAGGATGGAGAGAGAATGGTTAGAACGATCCCGGAGCAATAAGTGTACAATGGAAACCCAGCTGTGAAGCAAACTATCGTAAAGCAAGTGCTTGCTTATTGAGGGTCACCGGAAGCGCGCTTGGTTTCACAGGGGAGCGACCCCTCGGAGAGACCAGAAAGGCGCGAAGAAAAGGTCGCCGTGAGGGCCGTTTGGGTGGAGTGCTCTTGCTAGGTGGTGCGTTCAGGATAATAGAGGTTGCTCGGCACTTGTTACTGTTGCCCACTATTGGGCCTGGAGTTTCTTGCTTTTTACTATTATTCTCCCTGAGCACATGTACCCTCCCACCAATTAACATGAACCCTGACAGGAGGTCCCTTTAAAAGGAAAATGGTCTTCTAGGAACCCCCTGTCCGGACAGAGAGAGAGAGAGAAAGAAAGAAAGAAAGAAAGAAAGAAAGAAAGAAAGAAAGGAAGGAAGGAAGGAAGGAAGGAAGGAAGGAAGGAAGGAAGGAAGGAAGGAAAGAAAGAAAGAAAGAAATAATCAAGAAAGAAAGACAGAGAGCAAGCAAGCAAGCAAGGAAGGAAGGAGGAAGGAAGGAAGGAAGGAGGAAGGAAGGAAGGAAAGAAAGAAAGAAAGAAAGAGAGCCCCCCCCGCCCGGGCCCCCCCCGTGTCAGGTTCCATTGTAATTTGTTGGTTGGAGGGTACTGTAAGCTTGCTTTCGGGCGTTGCCCACAGAGCCCGGGATTTGAATGAACAGTGGGGGGGGGGCCTCCACCTTGAGCTGGGTGCTTCTGGATGACTTCATCGGTCTCAGGTGTTGCCCAGCATGCTGGCAATGTCGCCCCACACCCCCCCCCCTGCCCAACGCAAAGGAGGCCCTCTTTAATGGGCTCTAGCGGAATGCAGGGGGTTCCTGGGTCATTTGGGTCCCAGAACTGTGTGCCAGGAGGGTGGGGCGAGCTGTTGGTGGCGGGCTGTCCCCTTCTTCAAGCACAAGACTCAGGGGGATCCCATCTCCCTCAACGAGCAGGCGCAAATCTCGAGCTCAAGGCTTCCCACGCAGAAGGGACGACGCCCTTGTTTTCATGCGTTGGTTGGTTGGTTGGTTGGTTGGTTGGTTGGTTGGCCCACTTAATCAAAAATGACTGAGCAAGAGGCATACATGGTTACACGCATAGTCGCATAGTTACATGATACGTCGACACAATGATCCATCCGTCATCCGTCCGTCCATCCATCCTTCCAACTTTCCTTTCTTCTATCCTTCCATCCATACACAAATGCATGCGCACCTACATGCATACCAGCATCCTTGCATGATGCATGCAGGCACTACATGACATATCGCCAGACATGCCATACAGTCGAGCAGGCGCGAATCTTGAGCTCAAGGCTTCCCAAGCCGAAGAGACCTAGATGAATAGAAGACATAGACACATAGACATATCGACACATGCATGTGTCCGTATTTTTGTTGCCTGCATATATGTATGCAATGCATGTGCTTGTGTATGAATGTATATGTATGCATGTGCATGTGTATGTGTGCGTACATGTGCATGTGCATGTGCATGCTTGTGTGTATGTATGCGTGCAGGCATGCATGCATGCATGCATGCATGCATGCATGTATGTCAGTGCGTGTTTGTGTGTGTGGTATTTGTGTTCCGTGTGTCATGTGCGTGTTTTGTGTCTTATGTTTGTTCGGTGTGCCTGTGTGCATGCATGTAGGTAGGCAGGTAGGTAGGCAGGCAGGCAGGCAGGTGGGTAGGCAGGCAGGTATGTGCGTGGAAAGGGGTGGATGAATAATTGGATGGATGGGTGTATGCACGGAGATTGTACTGTTTGCTTGTACATATCTGTATCTATGCATCGGATGTATCGATGCATCTATGTGTCGATGCACCTATGCACCGGTGCATCTATGTATCCTATTTTTTTTAATGTCTCTATGCATTGATTTATCTTTGTTATGTAGCTATGTAGCAAAAATCGATGTATGCACAGGCACATAGATACATACACACGCATACGCAACACGCACATCCGTACGTACGTACATGCCTACCCATGTAAATGCATGCATACAGGCATGCATATACACACCCACACGCATGCGTACATACATGCATACAAACAAACACCGACGCGGAGACACCTTTGGAGGCCCATTTTTTAAGGGTTTTTTTGTTCTTTAGGATTTTTTGTTTGTTTGTCGGGTGGGTGGCTTTTCGGCTTTTCGGCTTTTTGGCTTTTGTGGCTTTTACGTGGGTTTATGTGGCTTGGCCTTTCATTTTGCATCCTCCTCTCTGTTTGGCTTTTGCGGCTTTTTATTGGGAAAAATGCGGCTTTCGCGGCTTTGGCTTTTCGCATCCTCTGCATTACCAGTTCCTCTCCAGCAGGTCGCTTTTTGGCTTTGTGGCTTTTGGTGGCTTTCTGGCTTTGGCTTTTCGCATCCTCTGCTTTCCCAGTTGGTTTTTGGCCTTGGCTTCCTGCATCCTCAGCATCACCAGTTCCTCTCTATCATTTTTTCGGTCATCATGGAGGGGGCTGCCCCCCGTGTGCAGTTCTTGGAACATCATGGGGGGCTGCCCGTCCCCCCTTACTCCCCCCCCGCTTTACATTCGAGATGTTCCAATTGAACCATCACGTTTTTGAACATCATGCGGCAGCCCGCCCCAACCCCCCCTCTTTTTGCCCCTGATTGAATCATTACTTTTTCGATCATCCTGGGCGGGCTGCCCCCCCCCCCAAACCCCCCGCGCCCCCCAACCCCCCCCTACTTTTGGGATTTTTGCCCCTACTTGCGTACTTCAATCATGCGTTGTCAGACAGGGCTGCGGGAATGCGCTTCGCGCGCTATACTTCTGTACTCAAAAGGCACGAGTTTCGAGTTCTTGCGAGAAGGCGAAGCATGCGCGGGGCCAATCTGGAAGCGTGGCCTTTGCATGTTTGGCTGCGTAAAGCATCAAGCAAGCGTTGGTCAGCGGCGCAGCTAGCTAGGATCGCTCCGACTCCGTCGCCGTTGCGCGTCGTCGCGGTCTGTCTGCGGCGTTCTCCGCACGATTGCGCGCGGGGGCGAAGCAAGGGCCGCACGCCTCAAACTGGACCCGCGCGATTTTTTCCAGGGTTATGGCCCGGGCGGTTTTGGTCGGCGGCTTGTTTGCACTAGATTTGGCATCGAAAATCCGTTTTCATTTGTCGACAAAAGTTTAGTTTTTGTTTATTTTTTTTTCGGAAGGTTTCGGGGAATCCGTCGGGGAACTTTTTTTTAATAGAAAAATTACCGGGGACAACGTGGGCTCGGGACAATGTGAGCTCGGCACGTTGTTGGCCGAGCCATAGCGACTCCGGTTTCCGCTTGGCTTTCGATGCCAAAGCCTAGCCTTCAAAAGCCACGGGTGTCCTATGGGCAGCCCGTTTTGGGGGCACGAAAACATGGCATAAATCCAAATAATATAGATTCGGAAAGCCCATTGGTTGGTGTAATAACTCCAATATAATGGATATCCAGAGAGTCCACTGGCTGGTGGTTTTGAAGGATAATCCGGAGAGTGCCCACCCCGACTTCTACCATCGACGCATGGCCCACGCCGGCGTTCTTCCGTTGTCTGCAGAGGGCGGCGGACTTGAACCAACTGGTGGTGGAATCCGCAGCACACGGTCCAGGCGGTCCCAAGCGCCTTGCGCGAACAATACCGCATCGCCCCCCCTTCCGACGAGATGAGCGCAGACGCAAAGGCGCCCGTCTGGAAGAGACTTTCTCGGCCACGGAGTCTTGAACTCTCTGTTATGCCCACAGCGTCCCAGACGTCCATAAGGCCGAGGAAGTCGCGGAAATCCTTCAACAAGGTGGACCACGTCCACGAGACCGCGAAGTTCTACAGCGCCGCCGTCCAGCTCCCGCAGCGGGCCAGAACCCAAAGCAGCCGCAATTTTCAACCGCGTGGCCGCGCCGGCTGAGCGGAGCATCCGCGCCAGGACCTGGGGTGGTGCCGGGGCACTGGCGTACCTCGCCTTTGCGAGGTGGCCCCTTCACGACCCAGGAGCAGGACGACGGCGGGCGTCGGCCCAACTGAGCGGTCCATGAGGACGACGCCACTCGCTGCTCTGCGATGACGAGGGGCAGCAGGCAAGGCAGTTTTTTCAATCTGGCTGCCTGCGACTGGCGGCGCACGAAGCCCGGCAAGCGCGACGCAGCGCGCCTGGCGCCGTAAAAAGCCTTCCTCTGCGAGCCACCTTCAAGAGAGAGAGAGCTTTGAACAGACGGCAGTCTTGCGCAGCAGCCACGGGATGTTTTAAAATGTTTCCCCATGCTTAGGGCGTTGCCCCGGTTAGGCTCCGGGTTGACCGTAGAGCTGTCGCCTTTTCCCATTGGCTCGTAGTTTGCGTTGCGCCGGGCGTTGCCTTGCCTGAGAACGGCGTGCGCGGATCTCCGAAGAGGGTCGCAATCCCGAGCCATGATCCAATTCCCACCACCCCGGCGCCTTAGTCACCTAAACTAGCTTACATAGCTGCTTACGCCGAAGCCCTGCGCAAGTGTGCAACTTGACTTGGCTCTATGCCACTTGGCTCTGTGCCACTTGGCTCTGTGCCACTTTCTTGGCTCTTTGCAACTTGGCTCTGTGCCAGCTGGCGCTGTGCAACTTGGCTCCGTGCCAGTTGGCGCTGTGCAACTTGGCTCTATGCCACTTGGCTCTATGCCACTTGGCTCTGTGCTACTTGGCTCCGTGCTGTTGCGACTTGGCTCTGTGCAATTTGGTCCAAGGGCTCCGCACGGAAGGTGCGTTCGGGAAAGCAAACATGAGTCATACAACAGGCGCAACAGAGATACGCATAGAACCGCACACGTGCTTACAGATCCATGTGCACTTGCATACATTCATAAATGCATGCTTGCATACATAGACATAGGAAGACAGATACTTACATGCGTGCGCACATCCACATACACACGCATACACGCATACGCACATACACACATACACACATACACATGCATGGATACATTCATACACACATACACACCTGCGTACATACATGCGTACATGCACATGCATGCATGCATGCATGCATGCATTCATACATACATACATACATACATACATACATAGATATATACATACATGCATAAATACACGTATACATGCATGCATGCATACTTACATGCATGGATACACACATACACACACATACATACATACATACCTACATACCTACAGACAGACAGACATACAGACATACAGACATACATACATCCGTACATACATACATACATACATACACACACATACATGCACACATACCTACATACATACAGACATACATACCTACATGCGATACACACAATCCACACACACAACATACGGAAACCGCACACATAACAAAAAGGCCCCGATAAAGTTCCAATGGAACTACTCAAGTGGATGGATCGTAGCAAATAGAACCCACATGGTGGCAATCATCAGCTTGTGGTGGAGTAGCCAAGTTGCCCCGCAGGATGATTTTCTGGCCAGAGTAGTTGCTATATGTTTCTATTTTTAAGAAGGGGGTCTCGGATTGCCCTGAAAATTGCTGACCTATCGCACTCTGAGTTGCATTTGCAAGATATAGATGGAAGGCTGCAGTATATTTCAGAATCAAGTTTATGCAAAAAACAGTATGGATTCAGACCTTCTAGAAGCACATCGCAGGCAATTTGTTGAACGAGGAGGTTACAGGATACCGCTGAACAAAGTGGCATGAATATGATTAGTACTTTTCTTGATTGGGAGAAAGCTTTTGATAGGATCCAACATGGCCGGTTATGGGTGGCATTGGAAAGAATTCGGGTACATGAGCACTTCATTGGAGTTCTGAAGAACTGCTATGAACAAGCACTTTTTTGTGCAGGACGAGTACGGGGAACCTAGTAGGAAAACCCAGTCTGCTGGGATAAGACAGGGATGCCGGGGATATCCTTTATTGCCTTACCTGTTCGTCCTGGTCATGACTGTGGCAAACAACATCCGACGTAGCCTCTGGTTGCAAATAGGTTGTTGGGGCAGGTTGAAGCAGTTTCATGCAATATGGGTTTCACCTTAATAGGGGCAAGTGCTGTTTCATGTGCATGAAGGGTAACAATGTCGTAAAATTTGAGACTACGAAGATTGGAATAGACAACTTGCCTCGGCCACCAAATCACTGAAAGGATGCATATTCGACACGAAAGCCATAAAATGAACCAAACTTTGAAGCTTTGGTACAAATTGGACACTTTCTGGAAAATGAGTGTTTGTTCAAAGAAAGACGGATTGGTGGACCCCGACAACAGTGGCTCTTCCTCACTAATAAGTTTATTTGGGAAGCAAGGTTGGAAGAGGTTAGTATGAAAACACTAGTAGGCAAAACCAAACTTTTGAAGCAGCGAATCGCCGTCAGTTTTGAGAGTCGCCTTCGCACGCCCAGGGTCTCACCTTCATGCCTGCTGCGGGCATGAGCCCATGGCTTGAAAAAAACCCGCGTAACAGGCATCAGGAACATAAGGCACATAACAAACACACACACACATCAAATTCACGGCAACCACACATGCACATACACACTGCGCACTCGCATGCAGGAACACATGCATGCATGCATGCATGCATGTGGACCTGCAGGCATACTGAGTTGCATGCGCACTCACGTATATACATAATCATGAATACATATGTGTACATTGTTTAACGGTGTGTGTGTATGCATATCTGTATGTGCATTTATGTCCGAGCAAGCACCCAGTTTGATGTTGGTGACAAACAGCCCCGTTCCGCTGGTGGTGTGCAGCGTTTGACATTGGCTGTTCCATGCCAAGCACTTTGTCGCACCTGGCCAGGCGGAAGCTACTGCTGTTGGTCGCAAAACCGCACTCTGCCAGACTGGCTCTTGCCAAAGGTACATAAGTCAAGAGTTTGTCACTTGTTGGCTGGCCAGGTCTTGCTGGAAAGCTCCCGCATGGGCGCCGGCTGGAACCTGCCGCGGGGCAGCACTAGGAATGGTTGGGAGGCAATGTGTTCCTTTTTAGGGTCTGAGCACCTCCCAGCACAGGCAGTTCGTTGTTGGCCAGCACAAGCGCCCAAGGGGTCCTTCTCAGGCTGGAACGGAGATGGGCTGCTGCACGGACTTTGGGAGGGGGCTCCTATCGTCGGCTGCGGATCACTCACCAAACAGTCCCTTCGGGGTTGTTGCCCCGGCATCTACCTATGTGGTCTTTTTTGACAATTCTTTTTGTTTTGGCCTTTGACATTTTGGGTTTTTGTTGACATTTTTTTGTTTTTTTTTTGGGGGGGGGCCGGAGGCAGGTCCGTTTGCTGTTTGACGGGCGGTACAGGTCACCGCAGGCGGCTTGTGGGAAACCTGCCGCGCCCCAGGAACTGGTCACGCTGCCGGAATTTGGCGAAGGACGAGGCTGGGAGGGGTTTCTTGGACCTCTGGAGGGTGGAACGGCGGCACATCAAAGCTTCCCCCTTTTCCAAGGGGCTTCTGCGTTTTTCGTGTCGTTTTTGCTGCTGTTGTTGTTAAAGTCACCCGGTGACTTGGACAAGTGCTCGGCTCTCGGCCAGGTGCTGGAGGTGAACTGCCAGAGGCACGGAAGGAGCCCAGTTCGCCCGGTGTTGGGTGGATTGGACGGGATGAACTCGTCGCACTCACTTGGGGTTTTCCGGCTGGTCGAAAATGAGCCAAAGTTGGCCATTGAAGGGGCCCTTCCCACCTGCAGCTACCCCCTTCCTAAGGGTGTTTCTTCAAGGCCGAGACTCTTTTGTAGTGAGCAAATTATCCGCCTGGGGAAAAGGACAAACTGCAGGTTCGGGCTCCTTTGTGGCAGGAGCTTTTACGTCGTCCTGTACAGCCGCAACCAAAAACTGTCGGTGAACTCGAATGACATGGCGCTCACCTATCCGGACTGTATCCGACGCTCGGAATGCCAGGAAGTAGTGGATCTTAGCAGAGTTGGTTCTTTGCGCTTGCATGCTCTTGGATTTAACAGGTAGCCCAACCACAAACATACCACAAACCACAAACCTGCTGACTTGTCTATCGTGTTTTACCCGAATGGACGCTGGAACGTCGCCTTTCAGGTTCAAACCAGCCGGTCCATCCCGCATAAATCATGGACCTCCCAGAACTTTGGGCTTCAAACATGCTCCAGGCTCGTTTTTTCTCCTTGTTTTCTCCCCGGTTCCGGCCCAGGGCTCTTCTACCCCCAGCTGGGGGGCTTCTTGTCGGCCAGCTGCTCCGAGAAGCGGGAGCCCAGGCTGAGGAGGTACAAGGCGGGGGGCCATGGGAACATGCGGATGGGGCTCGCGTGTTCCATGGGGTCCGGTGGGTGGTGGGCAAGAGGGAGAAGTTCAAAAAGGTGTGGTATGGTCATAGTTCTGAGTTGATGGTTGGAGCGCGCCTCAAGCTGCGTGAGTCTTCGCGTGAACTTTGGCCTGATGCGCAGCCCTATCTCTAAGAATCGGTTTTCCTAGGCCCAGAGTCCGTTGAAGTACCCATCCTTTCCTTGCCAGGAACCAAACAAGGCCTCTGAGAATCGAAGGCGCCCACAGCAAAAAGCATTCGAGGTGTTGAAATACTTTCGCACAAGTAGCATCCGCATTTTGCTGCTGGTGACTGACCCTAAGAAGAAATGGGAGTCCATATGCAACACATTCACTCTAATCAGGGGGCTCTAACAATTCACCAGAACATGTCCGCACAAACATATTCCAGAATGACAGGGATTTATCATCAAGGGAAGGATTCAAGATCCTAAATACCACCTATGACGTTCCTGTGGCCTTGCTGGAAAATTCAAGGTTGCAAAGGCTGGAAAAAGGCATTAAGGTTTCAACATGGGACCCTTCCATTTTGGACAACCCTCATTTGGGCAACTGATAGCGACCTGGCAAAGGGCGTTTTGCGACCGATTTCGTCTTCGATGGATGTAGGTCCCCCAATTCAGGTGGGTGCATCTGCATAGTTTCCTTTTGTCTGCTTTGCAGAGCAGTGACGCGTTCGTGTTTCCTACTTTGCTCATGCCAGGGCCATTCACCCGTTATGAGCAACTGCATTGTTTGTACTTTGCACGAGGCTCAAGTTTTTTCGCGCGGCCCCAGCTTTGACGACCTAGAATTGCGTTGGAAAGCTTTATTTGGCCCCCTTCAGGCAAACAAGCAATGCATCTAACAAACGGCTCCAGTTACAAAACAAAAACGGCCTTTGTTCAAACATGGGGCTGGGCGGCTCGTTCCATCCGCGAGTTTCTAGGAGCCAGCCCGGATCCTTTCCCCCTGGTGGTGGTTGCACACACCGTTTTCCCTGGGTGGTTGGTTGGCTACCCTCGGAATCCCGGAGCACGAAAGCCCACGTGCAGCTTTTGGCCCTGGCAGGGGAAGGCCGAGGAGCTGAGGGACAACGCCAAGGAGCCCAAGCTGATTGAAATAAGGGGTTACGCCTCCCTCCCCATCCCCCTGATCTTTTGGGGGGAGGGTATTCACCATCCCGGGCATCCGTAGCAGGACATTTGGATCGTGCAGCCGGTTGCCGGGGTACAGCTGGAAAAGGCGGTGCAGCGACTTGGCAGTGACCGGGCCCCACGGCCCAGTTGTCCAGTGACTTTTGCCGCTGCCCTGTTCTTCCGCGGCGCCCCGAAAGCTTTCCGCAAAATGTTTCAACCAACTCATTTGTAGAAGTCTTCTGAGGCAAGCGTGAGCTCAAGCAGCTAGGAAGGGAAAGGCTTTTTAGAAGGCGGGCACCCAAGATCAGCAGTCGTTTGGATTGGCACTTGAATTAGATAATCTTGACCTCGGAGTGTCTGTAGTAGGGAGACATGACGAGCGAATCCCCTTGTGTCGTGACTTTGGCAGGCCGCTGTAAGGCTTGATTAAGAAGGGTATCAGCTGCAGCGGTCTGTGCACTCCCAGCTTGACCACCTTGAGTCACACAGACACACACCACACACCACACACCACTCACAGGCACCAGCCCGACACGCAACGCCACTCAAACATCTTTTCCCTCGAGCGCGACGCCCGAGGTGGGCTACCACACCCGTCATGCTGCGACACCTTGGGAGCAAGAAGCGGGGCCTCAGTGAAGCCGTGCTTCGGAGACGGGGGCGGATGTTGGCTCCGGTGAAACCCGTGTCATGA